TATGTAAAACATATATTATATATGTATTTTATATAAATATACAATATATAATTTACATATTATATATAATTTCTCATGTTATTTAGTTTACTGAAAATATTTTCATTTTCAGTTATATATATAAAAACTAAGCTACTAGGTTTACTGGAAATATTTTCTTACATGAGATGCCAAATTTCTTTTACTCTATTCTCCCTTTTCTTCATTCCCATTAGTCAGCAGACACCTTCACTAAGAAACATCTCTCTAGTCATTGCTATAACTTGCTGACAGATTAATGAAAATAACGAACTGTTGATATAAAATGTAACACACTTCTACTAGATAAGAGATAATTTCATATATAGACTCTAGGTTTTGTGGCTTTTTAAGTTTTTGTGTGTGTTTTTTTTTTTTCTTTTTAGATGGCATTGAAATGGGAGCTCCAAACCAATAAAAAATGATGGGAAGTTTTAAGATATTTATAACAGTATTAAACAGGGGCAAATCTTTGAAAGCTGAAAAGTAACAAACCACATGCTCTAGGCTATGAGAATACAAGTATGAAAAAAACAAACACATGGACATGTCACAAGTAATGGTCTCAAAAGTTTCACAAAAATTTATACAAGAATAAGTTTGCCTTCTGATTTAACACAATGACATGTAAATAAAGCTTTTGATAGGATTTATAAAATTATTCCCCTCGATTCGAATTAAAGAACACAAATTTGAAAAGTGTCATTCGTAATTTAAGACTATTGTTTGATAAGAACTAAATGTATAAGATCAATACAACAAACTTGTTAAGTTGCCACAGTTTATCTTTAGTCTCCAACCAAAAACTAATGCTTAAAAATTTTTCGTTTGAGAATGTGGTATGGGAACAGGCCACATCAAGGCTATTTCGTAATTATTTCTGGAAAAAGAAAAAGGATTTTTTTTCCAGTTTAAACTATTAATGGTAAACAAAAGGGCCGGGGTGCGGTGGCTTACGCCTGTAATCCCAGCACTTTGGGAGGCCGAGGTGGGCAGATCACAAGGTCAGGAGATAGAGACCATCCTGGATAACATGGTGAAATCCCTTCTCTACTAAAAATACAAAAAATTAGCCAGGCGTGGTGGCGGGCACCTGTAGTCCCAGCTACTCAGAAGGCTGAGGCAGGAGAATGGCGTGAACCCAGGAGGCAGAGCTTGCAGTGAGCCAAGATTGTGCCACTGCACTCCAGTCTGGGCAACAGAGCGAGACTCCGTCTCAAAAAAAAAAAAAAAAAACAAAAACAAAAAAGGCAAACAAAAACAGGTTTTATTATACCTACATCAAAATTACTCAGAAATGAAAATAAAAGCAGTAACAGTAGTAAACGTACTGATTGTTTTCCCATGTGCCAGAAACTATTTCAGACTTACTCTTGCTGATTATCTTGACCTTCTCATCTCTTTCTGTTGCTAATAAATACTGTAGCCCATGACAAAAATTAAATTTTATTTTTATATAACAGTGTAAAAATAGAGTATTGGTTAACGAATGTTTTATTTATAGCCTAATTATTTTAAACTCCAACATACAAATAGATGAAAATAAGGGTTTTACATGTATAAATCTAGGCAGGTGGTCTTACATAGTTAATAAAAATATGGGCTCTAGAGTCAGGTTGCCAGAATTCAAATCAATTTTACTGTTGACTAGGTTTTTAACCCCAGAAAAATTATTCTACTTATTTAACCTCATGTCTCTCATCTATAAAATGGAAATAAATATTATTCCTGCCTTATAAGATAATCATGAGAATTGAAAGAACTCTATGTAAAGCACTTTGGACACAGTAAGTACTCAGTAAGATTTATCATTCTAGGATTATTAGCACAAGTATGATCACATGCTTCTGCAACATTTATGGACTCAACAGGGAAGAAGGAAGTGAATATCCTAGACACCTCCACTTGTACCCAATTCTGATTTTCTTCCTATACATAAACACGCACAAACACATTCTCTGGTAGAAGTGTTACTCATTGTGTACAGGTGGTGCAATGCGATCTGTGTCCTCCCAAAATTCGTATGTTGAAGCCATAACCTTCAATGAGATGGAGCCCTTGTTTAAATGAGGTCACGAGGATGAGACCCTCATGATGGGATTAGTTCCTTTATTAAGAAGGGACCTCAGAAACTTTACTTTCCCTCTTCCTCCCTCTTCCTCCCTTTCTCTTTCTCTTTGCCGTGTGAGGACACAGTGAGAAAGTGGCTACCTATAAGGCAGGAAGAGAGTCCTCACCAGAACCTGACAATGGCGGACATGCAGCCTCCAGAAATATGAGAAAATAAATTTCTGTTGTTTAAGCCATCAGTCTATGGTATTTTGTTATGGCACTCCGAGCTAACTAATACAGATGGGTCTACTTGTATTTTCAATGTTTAAATACATGAAAAATAACAATTCAAGGCATTTATTTTGCAAAGTTCATCAACATTTATTTTTCAAAGACTGCAGCATGTCAGAGTAAGCCATGGTCAGGCAGACATTATACTCCTGCTTACAATGTAATTTATTTTTAAGAGCACAATAGTAAGTAAGGTTCGTTACTTTTCAAAGAGCTACTTTAAATAGTTCTAGTTAAGTCAATGTCAGACAGATATTACATTCATGCCTACAATATGTTTAAGTCATAAGGATTCTTACCTTTTATATCTGCCTGAAACTGTTCTAGGTGGCTCCTGTAAAGTAAAAATAATTACATATCAGTTTGAGTATGTATGTACACAATTACTGATTATATAAAATAGTTGATAGAGAATATCTAAATATTTTTCTGAGACGGAGTCTTGCTCTGTCGCCCAGGCTAGAGGGCAGTGGCGCGATCCCGGCTCACTGCAAGCTCCGCTTCCCAGGTTCATGCCATTCTCCTGCCTCAGCCTCCCGAGTACCTAGGACTACAGGCGCCCACCACCACGCCAGGCTAATTTTTTGTATTTTTTTAATAGAGACGGGGTTTCACCGTGTTTGCCAGGATGGTCTCGATCTCCTGACCTCGTGATCCACCTGCCTCGGCCTCCCAAAGTGCTGAGATTACAGGCGTGAGCCACCGCGCCCGGCCGAGAATATCTTAATTTTTAAAAGACCAACTTGAAGCAATTACTGGTTTAAAAAATTCACATATTGCTGCTCAAACAAAACAGGAGTCTACATCTGATTTTTCAGTCCAAATCAATCACTTTTTTAAAATGATGTTTTTAATAAAGAAGTATTTTTAAAGCTCAGAAAATGGACAAGGCTGGGGGCATCATTCATCACCCAGTCAGCTTAAATCCCTTTGAAAGTCAAGGGGCATTAAAAAGTACCACTATTATATTCTTTTTTTTTTTTGAGATGGAGTTTCACTCTTGTTGCCCAGGCTGGAGTGCAATGGTGCAATCTTGGCTCACTGCAACCTCCGCCTTCCGGGTTCAAGCGATTCTCCTGCCTCAGTCTCCTGAGTAGCTGGGATTACAGGCATATGCCACCATGTCCAGCTAGTTTTGTATTTTTAGTAGAGATGGGGTTTCTCCATGTTGGTCAGGTTGGTCTCAAACTCCTGACCACAGGTGATCCACCCACCTCAGCCTCCCAAAGTGCTGGGATTACAAGTGTGAGCCACCATGCCTGGCCTTACAGTCTTTATATATCTCCCTTTGTCTTTTTTATGCCATCATTTTTTCTAAAACTTACAACTCACCATATGCATATAGTAATCAGTTCCTATTTTTAAAGACTATATATACAGCTAAAAATGAAAAGTGAAAAAGTACATTTTAATATTGTGCTGATTCTAAGCTACTAAAAAAAAAGATTGCTGAAAGTTAACATTAACCATTGGGGTAGAAAAATTGTTACCTTGCAAATAACTAGGCAGTCATTTCTCTGTTCAATCTTTTGACAGTCTAGGTTCTCCATATACTTCCGCAGTTTCACTTTAATGAAACAGGTCAAAATCAAATGATGTCTTTAAAAATTGTTAACTTTTTTCCTAATTAATCATTAAGTTGCCAAGAGAAATCCTACAATTAAAGAAGTTCTCATCCAGTTAAAGCAAAAGAATACCTTTATAAGATAACCAGTTCCAGAGTAAAAGAGTAAATACTGACTGCATGATGCAATAAAAGACTAGCAATGTGGGGAACCAGTACAGCAAACCATATGATTAAGAGGAAGGATCAGATCAAATTTCCAAGCCGACAGGCTACTCAGCAGCTAGGAGACTATGGGTTTAACCTCTATCAGTGTCTACTTATCTCTAAAATGGAATAACAGTGCCTATTTTATTGGGTTGTTGTGGAGATAAAATGACATAAGTGAGTAAAATTAGCACAGTCCCTTCCAAATAGGCTTTCAATTTCAATTTGATAGCTAAAACCAACATAAAACTAACTGGGATAAGGAAAAATCTTAATTGAATTTTCTGCATGGAATTTGAGTAAGTCTGTCTTAATTATTCCAAGTCAATAAATTCCCATTACAGAAGCCTATATTACTTAGTTTAATATAATTTTTGTCCCAATTTTTCATGTATATATCTTATATTCTAAGTAAAATGTAAGTGTCTGGCAGATAGGGACCCTCCACCAGCAATTCCTTTCTTTCTCCCCCAAAACCCCAGTTCGCCTAGTATGCAATAAATATATACTGACAACTTAGGGAAATAACTTCCTTGGTAATCTACAGTTACAAAAAAGTACCACTTGGGAAATAATCAGCAGCAGGAAATAACCAGGTGACAAGATACTCCAGTGACTACGTACATGGGTTTGACACCACAAACAGGCTTAGGGCTGGGGAAGTCATGCCTTGACAGTTGATACAAAGACACTTTAACCATCCCTGAGCATCAGTTGTTCTTACAGCAGGACAACAACAAAACCTGGCAAGCAGACTTTAAAGAGTTTCTTATCTGCCTGTCATTAAGCAGATACCCACTAATCTGTACTTTTGATTAAGTAGATACCCACTAATCTGTAATTTTGTACCAAACATATAAAACAGATCCCCTATTTATTTAGATGGCTATTTAAATAAAGTAGAAAGAAATATTAAGCTTATGTATACTCACTCAAAGTACACCTTATTAAATGTGAGTGATAATGATTCATACAGAAGTTTTTCCAGCTGGGTGCAGTGGCTCATACCTGTAATCCTAGCACTTTGGGAGGCCGAGGGGAGTGGATCACTTGAGCCCAGAAGGTCAAAACCAGCCTAGGCAACATGACAAAACTCTGTCTCTACATAAAATACAAAAATTAGCTGGGTGAAGTGGCATGCACCTGTAGTCCCAGCTACTCGGGAGGCTGAAGTGGGTGGACTGCTTGAACTCAGGAGGCACAGGTGGCAGTGAGCTGAGATCACACTACTATATTCCAGCCTGTGCAACAGAGCAAGACCACGTCTCAAAAAAAAAAAAAAAGTTTTTTCCCTGCTAGTTTCACAAACAGTATTTGGATTAACATTTTACAAACAGCTTCTTTTATTAAATTCCCTGATATTACCCTATATGAACTAAACTAAGGCATATGATGTCTGTCTACACATGCATGAGAAAAAATGCCAGAATCTCCAAAATAAAGTTCTGAAACAACACATATCATTTCTCTCACATCTCTCTCATTTGGGTTATATTTGAAATATCTCAGAACATGCCACATCAGCTTGATTGCCCAGACTGCCTTTTACTGAAACGGAGTCAGCAAAATTGCTAAATGAGAACAACCCTTACTAGATTTATTGATGTGTGGGTTACTGGTATATCAACTGAAATGGTACGAATAACTTGACAACAAACACTAATTTTTTTTTTTTTGAGATGGAGTCTCGCTCAGTCGCCTACGCTGGAGTGCAGTGGCGTGATCTCGGCTCACTTCAAGTTCCACCTTCTAGGTTCATGCCATTCTCCTGCCTCAGCCTCCTGAGTAGCTGGGACTACAGGCGCCCGCTACCACGCCTGGCTAATTTTTTGTATTTTTAGTAGATACGGGGTTTCACCATTCACAGGATGGTCTCAATCTCCTGACCTTGTGCTCCGCCCACCTCAGCCTCCCAAAGTGCTGGTATTACAGGCGTGAGCCACCACGCCCGGGCCAACAAACACTATTTCTGAGGCTTGAAATAGACATTTTCTGTAATATGGTAAAACTTAGAGTAATAGATATGTAGAGTAGAATTTTAACAGAAACAGAAATGTAAAATGGAGGGCATTTTCAGCAACTCTAAATTGCAGTGGCATTGTAATAATTTCACACTTTGATCCAATTATAAATGACTTAAAAGTCAGTATCAGACAAGCTTTGAGTTAAGTATGCTAACCAGAAGTCATGAAAAAATATCAGATTTCTACATGTATCTACAGTTGTTCGGGTTTTTTTTTTTTAAAAAACACTCAGTCACTTAAAACATACCTCAGTAAGTAAGTTTTACACAGTATTTTCCACACTGCTAGCTTGATGCAGTTGATAAAATTAGAACTTTCACATACTAGGTTGGTGCAAAAGTAACTGCGGTTTTGTCATTACAGTCATTCCATACTCAAGTCTGAGATATACAAATAATCAAAATTTAAGCTATACTTATTTCTGGTATATGGCTAGTATTTCAATAGTTAAGATTTTGAAGCACACAGACGACATTTAAGTTTATTCCTTATTGGTGGATTTGAATATGGTCTTTTATTAGAGATTATACATTTTGAAGCTAAATGTTATTTTATAATGATTCTTGTAATCAAAGTATAAACTTTAGGCAGGGCGCAGTGGCTCAAGCCTATAATCCCAGCACTTTGGGAGGCCAATGCAGGCAGATCACCTAAGGTCTGGAATTGAAAACTAGCCTGGCCAACATGGTGAAACCCTGTCTCTACTAAAAATACAACAATTAGCCAGGCGTGGAGGCAAGTGCCTGTAATCACAGCTACTTGGGAGGCTGAGACAGGAGAATCACTTGAACCAAGGAGGCAGAGGTTGCAGTGAGCCGATATCGTGCCACTGCACTCCAGACTCCATCTCAAAAAACAACAACAAAAAAAACTTTTAAAAGTAAAATGTTTCCCACACTGGATAGATTATATCAGTATGATTAGAGACTGGGAGGGGTGGTAGCCTTCTCATGCATGTTAAAAATGGGCAATTAAAGGTGGAGTTTAAAGTGATTTCTATATCCTGGCCAAAAAAAGAAAACTGGGCATATCTTAAATTAGAAATGTTAGAGAGAGAAAAAAAAATTAACCTATATGGTGCAGTGAAAGAATCCCTTATAATTTTTTTAGCTTTATTTTTAATTGACAAATTATATATATGTATAAGGTTCAAAGTGATATTTTTATTTCAATACATGTATATATTTTGGAAGGATCAAATTACAGTAATTAGCATGTCTGTCTGATATATTTTCGATGTCCCCTCCAAACCTCATGTTGAAATATAATCTCCAGTGTTGGAGGTGGGGCCTGTTGGGAGGTGACTGGATCATGGGACTGGATTTCTCATGAATGGTTTAGCACCAATGAGATCTGGTTAAGAGTATGGGACCTGCCCCCTCTCTCTCTTGCTCCTGCTCCTATCATGTGATGTGCCTGCTTCCACTTTGCCTTCAGTCATGAGTAGCTCCCTGAGGGCCTCATGAGAAGCTGAGAAGACGCTGGTGCCATGCTTGTACAGCCTGTAGAACCTGTGAGGCAATTAAACCTCTTTTTCTTATAAATTACCCAATCTCAGGCATCTCTTTATAGCAATGCAAAGAACGGCCTATACAGATGACTTCAAATACTCATCACTTCTTTTTTTTTATTTTCTTTTTTTGAGACACAGTCTCTCTCTGTCACCCAGGCTGGAGTGCAGTGGTGTGATCTCAGCTCACTGCAACCTCCGCCTCCAAGGTTCAAGTAATTCTTGTGCCTCAGCCTCTTGAGTAGCTGGGATTACATGTGAACACCACTATGCTCAGCTAATTGTTGTATTTTTAGTAGAGACGGGGTTTTGCCATGTTGGCCAGGCTGGTCGTGAACTTCTGGCATCAAGTGATCCACCCACTTCGGCCTCCCAGAGTGCTGGGATTACAGGCATGAGCCATTGCACCAGGCCCTTATCACTTCTTTCTGGTGAGAACATTTAAAATACTCAGCTATTTTGAAATATACATTATTATGAACTATAATCACCTTGCTGTGCAATAAAACAAATTATTCCTCCTATCTAAACTGTAACTTTGCACCCACTGGCCAATGTTTCTCCTTTCTCCATCTACCTTAGCCTCTGGTAATCACCATTCTACTCTCTACTTCTATGAGTTTGACTGTTTTGGATTCCACATATAAGTGAGATCACTGCGACAAAATGGATGAAGGCAGCGGACATTATGTTCACTGAAGTCCCTAGTAATTTTAAAGAGGAAAATGCTTAACATTCTTACATGTTAGAACAAAATTCCACACAAATATAAATGTTACCTTAGATGTCTTAACTATATTTCTGTAGCCACAAAAATTTCTAGGCAAAGAAACAACTACATAATTTTTGGTACTTTAATAATTACTACTCCATACTAAATAGGGACAAAAAATGAAGAAATACAGTAGTCCTTTTCCCTTTATCCAAGTTTTCACTTTCTACAGTTTCAGTTACCCATGGTCAACCCATGGGCATTAATAAAATTAAATTTTTAAAATTGTATTATTTAATACTTTAATTAATAAATTTAAATTATTATTTAAATTATAACTTAATTAAAATATTAAATGCAAAACTCAAAAAATAAAAAATTCATAAACTTTAAATTGTGAGTTGTCCTGACTAGCATGATGAAACTTGGTGCTGTCCTGCTCCATCTTGCCCAGGGCCTAATCGCTTTGTAAAACGTATCCACAGTGTCTATGCTCCCTACCTATTAGTCATTTGGGAGCCACCCTGGCTATCAGACTACCTGTTGTGGTATCCCAGTGACTGTGTTCAATTAACTTTTCTTTTATTTAGTAATTGTCCCAAAGTACAAGAGTAGGGATGCTAGCAATTCTGATATGCCAAAGAGAAGCTATAAAGTGCTTCCCTTAAATGAAAAGGTAAAAATTCTCAACTTAATAATGAAAGAAAGAAAAATCATACCCTGAAGTTGCTAAGATTTATGATAAGAACAAATCTTCTATCCATGAAATAAAAGGAAGGAAAAACAAATCTGTGCATAGTATAAATAGCGTTCAGTACTATCTATATTTCAGGCATCCATTGGAGGTCTTGGAACAGAACCCCCTTTGATAAGGGAAGACTGCTATACTAGTATCACCGAAACTGCTTGTAAAAAGTACAACTGTTAAGACTGGTACTGGTCTTAAAAGTTTCAAAGACTATGTAATTAGATCTCCCAAAAATCCTTAAGTCTGTTATACAACTGATCTCAAATATACTTGTTCTGAAATAATCTTCCCTGCAATGGGATGGTTTCTATTACTGAAGGGAAGGGGAAAGATCTATGTAGAACTGAGAAAATGTTGGCAAAGCACAAACTATTTTGTGTGAATTTAAATAAAACACTCTGCTTTATTCAAGCTTATAATGATCAATAAGGAAATCCCCATGAACAGAGTCTGCAGTGGCAGATGAGAACTTCCAACGTATAAACAAGTATAAAAGCATAGGTGAAATAATCAGACAAATACGAGCCCAGATGAATACAGCAAAGTAATACTGATGTTATTCAAATAATCCAGCGACAAAGCCACAGCCCTCAGAAAAATTATGGCATAACATGCTAACTGACCCTCAGAACTAACTTAAAATATCTATATTGGCATGTATAATTTAGTATGATATACTGCTGAAGATGACTGCAGAATAAAATTTCTCTAATGTATAACTGATAAAATGAAAAATAAGAGCTTTATCAAATTAATGAAGATTTTAAAAGGAAAAACTCATCCTTCCCCTTCCTTTCCTGAACAATTAAGTCCTAAAGCCATTAGGCAGGGCAGAGCAACATGAGGAAACACAATGGCTCAGATCAGGGTATCAGAATACGAGAATCTGCCAGAAAGAAGAGCTACCTGGCATAGAGAATTCAAGTCCGAGCAAACTAAGGAGACTGCCCACATAGCAGAGCTCACTCACTCGGACCTAAGATATCAGAGCCGGAGCAGAATGAGAAAGATTTCTACAAAGCAGGGAAGGGAAGCCCTCATTCGTGAGGCAAGGTCAGAAAGGGAGTCTCATAAAGGGGTAGCCAGAGTCTCAGGTGGAATGTGAAGTTTACCTTCTCAGGAGGGTGGTTCAGAAAAGGGTGATAAGAGCTCTAGCACAGTAAAAAATATCTACCATCTCAGAGGCAGCCTGGCATGTGGTATTCTGTGCCAGAGCCCAGACAAGATGAAGTGAATGTCCACAGGGAGTGGCAGTCTGGCCTGGAGTTGCCAAAACCTAATCAAGTTGAGGAAGAGTCCCCCATGGAGGAGCAATCCGACAAGAGTTCTCCGAGTCTCAGCAGGAGTAAAGAGAGGCCCTACAGAACAGCCTGTCAAAGGATGCCCAAGCCGGAAAAGGGTGAAGAGAGTGTTCATGCTTAAGGTGAGCCCAACATGTAATGTCAGAACCCGCTTGTGATAAGGAAGGCATAAGTAGGAAGAAAGAAAGCAATGGGAGATATGTTACTACATACAACCCAAGAGGCATATTTGAAAAATTGCCATTAAAATATATAGTGACTTCCTGGTATTTTTAAATACTCACCTGTAGCAGATAGGAACTGCCTGGATCTAGTAAGTTTACAGCTTCATTCTGCATAGTGTTCTGTTGTGTAATTGCATCTTCTCGTTTTCGCTCTTTCTGCCCTGCTTCATCATCTTCGTACTCATCTAAGCACTGAAAGAAAAAAAGTTTCCATTTTATTTCTATTATTAATAGACTGTTTTGATAGTACGTGAAAATACATTTTTATAGCATTAAAGAAATATTTGTGCATTCAGAAATTAGTTTGCACAATAAAAGTTTTTCTTTCAGCAATATGTACATTTAATTCCTATAAATTATCTGCTTAAAACTTATAGTTCCATAGCCACACTACTGCCAACAAATCTCTTCCCTGAACTTCAACCACCAGTGACAGGGTTTTCTTAAAGAAAGGTTCATTCATTCGTTTTCATTCATTCAATAAGTAAACTACGTCTACCTTAAGGCATTCTGCAGAAGGTAACAAAGGATACACTAAAGAAATGGAATTTATAATCTAGTAGGAAAGATAATACATATATAGATAGATAACTTAGGATAAAGGCCCATTTTCTAGCTTTATATTCTATGAGCATATAAAGGAAGAGTATTTTTACCTAGAGAGTTAGAAAAGACTATAAAAAACCTTGTAATTTAAAGAATGGTTACAATTTAAATGGTTTTTAATGGAATTGCAGATATATATAAAAAAGAATTACACGTAACAGCATATTGAAAAAGCTTACAAGAGAGGGTTGCTAAAAAACAGAATCAACACCAGAAATTATCTAACTCTACACTTTCCACATAAAAAAAAAAAAAAAATAGAAACAAATCTCTATCCATTATGCACACTATGGGCTGGGTTATCCGCTCCTTGCAACTGAATACATTCCTAACCAATACATTGCCCTAAAGGCTTCTGTGTGAGAACCCACCACCCCTCTCCAACAAACAAACAACAAAAAGAAAACCTCTCTGTAGAGACACCAAGGAACTGACCACAGAAAAGTATAACAGTATGGCAGTGAAGACAATAGCAATCAGACAAAAAAAAAAAAAAAAAAAAAGGCTATGCAGAGAGAAGAAAACACTGAAGCTACTGTGCAAACCAAGAAGGTACACTGGAATATTTGGAGATAGGAGGAACATATTGAAAGGGGTACCAAGCTTGATAAAGACAAGGTCTACAATGGAGGACACTGAAGAAAGCATCTGTCTGAGATGGAGTCTTACAACATAAGGATGATACAGAGAAGAAGTCTGAGGACAGAAATGGAAAGGGCAAATGAAAGGAGCAAGCAGGCTGAGATGCAGAGTTCTCCTGAAATTCAACAGACTGCTTATACGGTGTCACCTGGCCCTTGTCATATCAACCTGCCAAGAGTGGGGCTTGGGGAAACAACACAAAAAAATTATGATACTGCAGCTACTGTTATTGCTATGAGTCTAAACTGTTCTTGACTCTAACTAACCCAGGAGACTAGTGTCTTTTGCCAGAATACACAAGCTAACATGTTAGCCAGCAAGCGCGGTATGATCTCAAAGCCATCAGTTTTTGACAGAGGTGAGGATTCGAAAGGCACAGAGGGAACATAAATCATAGATAACCCAAGAAGTTTAGACTTCTCATTCCATGGCTTGGAATGATATTACAATGCTACACAATTCCTTGGGATAAGAGCAAAATGATCAAAATTCTTTTTGGGAAGAACCTGAGTATAGCAATGCAGAGAACAGGAACAGGAATAAAAGTGAAAACACTAGTTAAGTGACTAGTTAAATGACATAGGCAATTTTTATCCCATGAAAAATGACATATCCTAAGTGGAAACAGAGTCAGTGAAAGAAATCTGGTATGGGACACCAAAGTGTTAAGAAATTAGTCTTCATTAGAAAAAAAAATCTCTCTTAGGACTTTCAAAAACCTTCTCAAATCACTAGACAATATCTTGTTTAATGACAACATACCAGCAAAATTTAAAAGTAAAATCAGACTCAAAGCATTGATGTCCACTATCAACATAACTGTTATCATTATTCTGAAAGTGCTAGTTGATAAAATTAGGTAAGAAGAATAGACAATTTTAACATCAGAAAGGAGGCAAAATTACCATCATTTTAGAGGAAATGATATTGTAAAAAACAAAAACATTTTAGAATTATGAGTTAAGATTTTTTTTTTCAGTAAATAAGCAAAAAATTTCCTAAAGTAACATCAATAGCCAGTTAAAAAATTTTTAGTAACAACCATAAATAAACTAAAAAATAGTATGTGTATGAAGAAAGCTGTAAGACTTCACTGAGGAATACAAATTAAAACCTACACTTAAATTAAGAAAAACCTAGTATTGTGAAGGTGTCAATAGTCTCTTAACTCATAAATTAAAATTCCAATCAAAATCAAGAAGAAATTTATTTGGAAAGTAGGGGTGCATCATCCAGAAGAAAAAATACATATCAAAAAATTTACTTTTTTAAAAAAGAAGTATGAAACCAAACACTCTAGTTAACGTTAAAATGTATAAAAATATCTCATAGAGGTCCTAGAACAGAAATAATAAAATAGCATAAAAGGCATTTTAAATCAAGGTGTTCCTTAAAAAAGGGGGGAGGTCACTTAATGAATAGTAGGAGAAGCAAAAGTATGAAATCTGGAAAAGAATAAAGAATGGTCTCATCTAGTCTTCTATTCTGTGAAAGAAATCATCACTCATTCTCCAGCACATGGACTCAAAAATCTCTCACCATAGGCTCCAACTTGATTAGCTTAAAGTTGGAATTCTTAAATTATCATAGATTAATATAAACAGAAAGCAAAAGTTGAGGCAGGTAGCCATGAACTCCCAGAGCACTGGGATGCTATTTTATTTATCTTTGTTTTCATTTTCTGAGACCCAGCCCCACAACACTAACTTTCCCTCCTCTTGTCCCCTCAACAATCTAGACTCCCTTACCAGCACATTAAAAGAAAAAAGAAAGGAAAAAACAAAATACTCAGTAAATGTTTCATAAAAGAATGAATGAGTTACCAAGATGAGACAAATCATCTTGGAGATAAACTGGGAGGTGAACTGTGATACCCGAAGTTAAAATTCTGAATGCTCTTTCCCATAGCAACACTATTATCCACTGAACTGGGAACCTATTCATCACACATAGTATTCCTATGGATACAGTATGTATCTAACATTCCAGGCAGCTTTTAGCATAGGGATTACTTGATGAATCACAACTTCCCTCCAAAATTCTGCTAGCAACCAGTACAGTTCTTTTAATGACAAGCATCCTACAAATTCTTAAGCAATCTTTTCTAACTGGAATAAATACATCTGGAGGAAGAAGTTGGTGGAAATCATGAGAAATAAGAGAATTCCTGTATCTGCCATACTTAAGAGCAGAAGTGGATTCTCCTCATTCCTTTCTTCAGCTGCACAATAATTTTATTAAGTAGACATACTTACCATATTTTAATCAGAGCTTTATTGATGAACATAATACAGCTCATATTGGAGGCTAGAGTTTCAACATAAGAATTTGAGAGAGACAAAACTTAGTCCATTAATAACATAATAGCTGATCTTATTGGAACCAAAAATAAAACACTTGGAACCTGGAATGCAAAACATCGTTTCTGTTACAGTAAGCTACTGTTGAGGTAACAGTCTTCAATACAAAGTGATTTTTACATTAGCATCAACAACTCAAAAAACAAAACCATACCAGCTCTTCATGAGACTAAAGTTAATTACTATAATAGAAATTTTTTTTAAAATTGTTTAAGGCTTAAGACAGTGTCCTTATTTTTTGTTCCTGCTACATTCTTACCTACCAATCAATTCATATTTTGTATTACAAAGGCAACTCTTGCTTTCAGGTAATTTTTGCACACTATTTTCTATACTATGTGACAAGAACCACTGTTTATCTTTGAGTCACTTCAATGTGTGTGGCAATGTGAGCAGCTACTTAAATATCAGAGGGAGGAAAGAAAAGAAGAAGGAAACTAAGTTAGATACTTTTCAATTTATATAGTACCCTTAACTTTTATTTGCTTTAGTTTGGCACCCTGCCGATTATATGAATCAAAATACTTAATATTCAAAGAAGTAATGAAAACACACATAACAAATTTAAGGTACAACACAAACTTCTTATCACAGAGTATAAAAGTAGAAACCAAGAAAATCTTCAACGTCCAGGTATCCCCTGCCGTGAATGAGCATTTAAATGCTAATTGAAAGTACAAAGACAGCACTTGAAAGACATTTCAAAGCCTATATAAAATTGCCAAAATGTCCACTAGTAGAGTTTTTGAAACTAGCTAATTCTGATGTTTCAACAAGAAATTTTTACAAAAATTCCTCCCCCACCAAAAGCACAGCATTTACATACGAAACCTACTCTAAATCCTAGATAATCAGAAATCATCCACTGAACAGTCAGCTCATTTGGAGTTTATTTATATTCGTGGCTCTAATCTACAAAGGGAAAAGTAAAAGCAGAGTAAGCTAGAGCTATGTGAAGAGATACTCAAACATTTACCTGCTATTTTTCAGCTGTCAGGGAATATCAAAATTTTACATAGCAAAAATAAAACAATATGTAAATGTTTGGTTAGAATGTTAACAATATAAAAAATATTTCACTGACATTTGACTAAATAATTACTACGTGAACAAACATGAATTTTGGTCTACTATGTGTCATGCTGCTCTATAAATTCACACAAGTTAGTATGAAGCAAATGGTAAGACAATAACACTATTGATTCAGATGTGTCAAATCAAACATTAACATACAACAGTTGTTTAGAAGGGAAAACATTCCTTCAGTATAAATGTGCTTATTATGTGGTTCCTCTTCTTTGTAACTGAAATTTTAGATTTGTTTAAATTGCCAAAATCCCGTATCATTGGGTTTTGCTTTACTTTAAAGGACCCAGAGTTCTTGATTTCATCTCATAAGGACAGACCAAAACTTTTATAAGAAAGAGAGAAAACAAAATGTCTACATAAAACAAGTTAATTTTGTCTCAGTTTTGACATTTACTGAAAAATGCTCTTGTGCAGCGTAAGCCTTTTAAAGAATGATAATCATATGCCTTTCTCATTACATAGTTTGGATCAAATTATATGCCTAACAATTACAAC